AGAACAAAATGCGTTTATTAGAGAAGTCTTCGAAAACCAGCTTCTCTTCACATTCAAGTCGATGCGTTAAATATGGCCTACGTGCATGCTGAGCTCTCGTAGTTGACGTCGTACTACGCTACAGAGGGAGGAGGGCGACGCCCAAAGCACCTGACTCCAGGCCGTGGTAACCAGGGCAACCAAAGTCAATTTTATCTCGTATTGCCGTTGGGCTGGGACGGGGCCACGAATCCCTTCGGGCTCGCAGCTCAAGGCAAGAAATGAACGGGGAAAAAAGAGACGAACAACAGCCAATGAAACACCAGACACAAGCATATCGTCTACGTGATTACCGGCTGGGTTATCATTGCTCAATCAGCTATTAAGGTTCACGAGACAAAGCCCATCTTCCACGTCAACGGGGTCAGGCTGTGGTCGTGGCAACTTAAAAGGATGGCTGAATAGGCTTTCGGGAAAAATGTGTCTGGCTGTTAACCTCAGCGTCAGCAGATGCCGTCTCCCCCGCCAATCGCGAAAGCCGGCCCAAGCCGTAATTCCGAGATCTGCAGAGGCAAGCTGTTCGTAAACAAGTGATAAATGAATGAAGTGCAGAAGTGCGCTTCGGGCAGACGCAAAGCGCTCAACAAATGACATAACAGCCTCCACCGACGTTGCAAAAACCAAATGGACAGTAACCACTGGACAAGATGCCAGATTCTCTCATAATCGCTCAGTCTGCAAAACGGAGAGGTCACAGAGGGATAGGAACAGGTCATTCAACCGAACAAGGGTGGCCAGTCTGCCGCAAGATTGCTTACAATCGCATACAATGAAGTGGCCGAATCAAGGCGGTTGTCGAGTCCGTCTCGGGCATTTACAGACGCACATTCGAGGCTAAGAGGATAGAGAAAGCAGAAAATGGAGTGTGCAGCTAAAAGGACAAGGTGATATGGTGATTTAGTGGACAATGGACCCAAATTGGGCAGATTGAGAGCTGACAACTCAGATAGAAGCATTGAAGTTACACAAATGTAAGGGAACGGTACAGAGGATGGAGGGGAAACTGAAAAGCCTTCATACTGGGCTATAAAGAGTAGACTAAAAATGGGATACGCGAAGATGCAGGGTCGAGGGAAAAAGGTAGATAGAGAAGGCTTTGACACACGTCGAATCGGACGAATAAGTCACATGCAAAATAGTGACCCTCAGCTGTAACGAAGCCGTGAGAGGTGGGCAAAACTGAGCCGGTTGAGGATGGAATCGGACAAACAGGAACATGCGGCCCAAACGGGGCGAATAACAACCTCAGAAAAGCAGACTCTCAAGAAGAGAAGAGAAGAAGTAGGGCCAGAGCAATGCGACAACAGCGACGTTTTTCGGAGCAATCAAGCTGACAAATTTGCTGCGGCTCTGAAGACGCCGAAGGAACCTCGGTATCCGGGATCCGCTGAAAACCGCAGGTCTCTTGCTGAGAGAATGCATCCGATGCCTTGTGCCAAGATGTTTGAGGTAAATTTTCGCCCCATTAAACAACAAAGAGGTGGTCGTGAGTCATCTGTGGACTCCGTTGTATTTGTCATTTTACGCTGGACACTGCCCGAGTCAAGATCGGCTAGGGAATACAGGAATCGCGAAACGGCTTGAGAGGAGGTAGACTCAGCACACCTCAGAACTGGCCCAGTCGTGGAAACATAACCAGCGCCTGGCCTCGGGGTCTGATGCACCAAAACTGATTCGAAGAGCGACGGTAAAGAGAGCAAAAGCCTGCCAGTAACTGCTGAGGATGCCTACGAGAATAGCTCTTTTTTATCACGGCAAACAAAACATCTTCCGCTATCGAAACTAGAGACGCATTGAGTAATGTCTGGTTTTTGCTTCATATTAGAGCTTACTTTGAACAGAGAAGAGACGAGGATGGGAGACTTGGCCACCTCCGGCCCTGCATACCTCAGTCCGGTGTATTGGGTATGGGCCATGTCTTTATTTGTTGAAGCAACAGCCTGGCCCCTAAACGCAAATGGACATAATATACAAGAAACGCCTTAGTACGGTTGTAAGAAAAAGAAAAAGAGTTTTGCGGAATATTATCCCGAGGGCTGATATGAGTAGGTGGTGCGGATTTTGTGCCGTTTTAATGCAACCTTCTCTATACGTTAAAAAGGATATTCTCGATAAATCCACACTCTCCAATTAGCAATCATTGTTGTGTCACGCCATCCGAATGATAAGACAAGTCTAGACTAGTCAAAGAGACTGACAAAAGTATGTAGGGAAAACGGGTAAATAGAAGCGTTATTAGTGGACATCTCGTTGAAGAGGGTAAGAGACAGGACGGGCATGACATATTTCTTTCTTAAGGCTAAGGCAAAAAGACAGGTCCCATCTCAATGTTGCACTCGTAGAACGTATACATGCGATTTTTCCCCACTAACTGTGGGAACGAAATGCTTTGGCCTCCTCCACTTTCTCCTCTTCCTAAATTCCGATCGACCACCTTTGTCCAAGAATATGCGCATAAGAGCTATTTGATGTTTTAGATTTCATATAGTGTTTTAAGGTTAAAATGTAGCAAATATTTAAAAGAGTAATAAATATATTATCCACGTAGCTAAAAGAAATGCCTTATTATGGTTGCCAGACAAGCAGGTGAGAATGTCTTCCCGGCCAAAATGGGCTGTAGCCTGGAATATGTAAGCTAGATTGCTGTAGGATTTGTAATAAAGAAAACAAGAGCAAGCACAGAAAACTCGAAAAATCTTAAGTGATTTCTGAAAACCGCCCAATTTGGAAGATGATAAGGGAGATGGTCAAATGTCTAGTCTAGACGTGCTGAGAGCAAAAGGCTCATATTGATCAATATTATCTGATATAGCGCAAAAATGACACGAAAAATGGAATTTATGTCATGTTATACTGGCCTATTTTCATATCACACTGACGAATTATGTCCGGATCAGTTACAAGTAAACGCTAGATCCTATGGATCATGGATGATCCGCCCATGCTTGCCTCCGTTTAGATTGTGGTTCTAAGTAAAGATGTGGCTTTAGTTCACGTGCATATGTGTACTTTTAGCGTTCATCGAACCCGGAGAATCGAAGAGGGACGAAGCGACTAGTCGGATTGGCTTCAAATTGGACGGACGCTCGACAACGCAACCTTTTGCGGGCTGGCCGGCTGCCTGAGGGGTACAGTACGTGCACCCGACACCGACTCAACTTCCGGCCTGTAGCATGGCTCCAGATCAGTCCCGTGAAGGCTATAAGAAATATCTCTCGCCATTACAGATTAGAGGAGATGACGCCGAAAAGCCTGCCGACGCGGCGAGACGTAATTGTTGAAAAGGGGCGCAGCTTTCAATTAGAGCCTGTCTAACGAGACTCATGCAGGTGACGTTACCCAAAAGGAAAAGGTGAATGTGGCTAGTAACCGGCAACTTTTCAGTAATCAGGGGCCTAAGCGTTGCTGA